AATTGTAGTTGATCCCACAATGGAAAAAGTTAATAAACAACCTTTAGAACGTTCATCCAGACGTCATTTGTCGCCGGTTACGACAAAAAACTTTCAAACTTGCTAAAAACTGAAACAAAGCGCGCCACTCCATTAAAAGTAACAAGTGAATTGGTTGAAGTTCCTTAACTAAGTGTACAAACTATTTTTAAAAAAGAAACATTTTTTGTGAACTGATTTAAAATATTTGTAGAAAACTCGAAGTACAATAGTTATGGACGATGTTCAATACCATTCCAGGAAAGTCGACAAAAAGTCAACAACGATAGTATGCAAAGCTAACATAATTAAATATACGAAAGACAACAATATTGATATTCCAGAAGGGAAAGTAACAAAGAATTATGTATCCAATATTACCAAAGGTCATTCATCATAGATGAACTTGCCAATGACTGTCGCCGTATTATTGTGTGTTTAATTTTATAGAGGTGGTATAGGTCTAAAAAGAAAAATAAGAAAAAGTAATAAAACACCATACACCAAGATTAAACGATAAAGTCATTGAAGTGATCAGTGACTAATAAAATGAGGGCTGAATATTTTATGAATCGTCCCTGGTGTAATTTACGACTGGAAAAATGTTCTTTTTCTCGACAGGGGCTTCTAAATAATAATCCGCTCACTATTGGAGTTAAAGTGCAATATAATACATATTGTTAGAGTTTGTGGACTACTATACATTTTGGTTTTCCATTTATTTTCGCAGAAACTTTGTTGATTGTCGCAGCTGTAAACCCACCCATATCAGCTATCGATTTAGCAATCAGAATTCTGATTCCACTAGAGACCATTAGCTGAATTGAAAAAGAAAACGTATTGTGGTTATATTTACAAAATTACGCTGAATAATTAATTCTTATGAACGTCCACCCTTTATTAAAAATATCAGGAGAGATTTGTAGGTTATTTAGTTTAATTTTAAAACAATCTGTATTATGACGAATAGAAGGCATCTGAAAATTAAGAATATTATCAACCTCAATTACAATTTTGTTTAAATAGCATGCATTCAGAACTTGTGAATAATAGTGTAAGTTGTGAATAAACATTAGGAAAAGTTCTTTAACGCATGAGAACGACGTTTCTGAAAAGGGGGTACCCGAGTGAAAAAACCATTCGAGATCAGTGCAGACCTTCGCGAATGTGTTATGCACATTTTTTTTTTTGTAAAATTGCACTTTAAAAATAAAATAATTTTATAAAATTTATTTATTATTTACATGAATTTACCAATGATATGGGTTTCCATATCTATAGACAATTAACATTTTATCTACATACATTTTTTTAGTATATTATTTTAAATATTGTAAGTGAACATACAGTTACAGCCGTTTCTGACTGGGAATGTGTTTTGTTCGTTTATTTTTATATTCTGAAATTTTAATATAAAAACTGAACTTGTATTTTTCTTGTTGTCCTTTTAAATAAATTTGACATTTGCCTATTCTCAAAATGTTGAACCTAGAAGTCTTGTCTTGGGAACATTCAGAATGTTCCTGAAATTCAGTGAAATTTCTAGATTTTTATATTTAAACCGTATTTGGTCATACGTCATATCGAGTGACTATTAATGTTTGTGATTTTTTCTGTTAGACTGGCAACATAAGTAGGTATTTAAAATTTTATGATGGCACAGGTACCTGATGTTAATTTCAAATTTTGGGCACCAATTGAGTACCTGCCATCTTCTCACTGGTTTTTAGGCGCGCTCATGTTAAAATTGACAACTGTGGACTGAGATGCTAACATTGTTGCCAATAATTCAGAATGCCCAACTCAAAAATTTGCTTCGATCATTAATAATCACTAATCTTAACTAATGTCAAATTTAAATAGATATTTATATTGATCAAGGTTTCTTTAATACCTGAGTTACGGTCTTCTATATCAGGAATCAAATTTCAGTTTTTTTTTTACAAAACAACCTGGCAACTTCAATTGAAGGAACTATTTAGGATTTAATGAATGAATAATAGATAAACTTCAAATTAAAAAATATATTACAAATATACACGGCGTTTAAAAAATGATGCACTAACTCCATGACACGTTGTTAAGGATTGCTTATTAACCAAAGAGGAAATTATTTAAAAAATAATTAGGTCTAAATGTAGAAGACACATGCTTTCAAAGTTTAATTTTCCTTTTATACACATATTTGACTACATTTTATGAATTCACTACTTAGTGATGGTTATATATGAAATCGATCGAACTTTCATTAGACACAATAATTTTGGAAGTATGATGTTTATATCCATAGTTTTCTATACTTTATAATATTACCAAAAAAGGTAAAATTTGTTCAGAAAAAATGTCATGAGAGTGGCTAATTTTTTAGATGTTTTTAATCTATGAATCTATGCATGTAAATCGACATTTTGTTTCTGTAAGTGAGCGTCAAATTGACGTAGGGAAATGTTTAATGATTATGCTCTAGATCTACTGCATATTTTTTTTATTTTAAAGAAATACATTTTGAATTTCTCTTATTGAGAACAACTACTTAGACGCAGAACGTATATATCAATTCGGTTTTCAGTTTTGCTTCTTACGAATTGGCAAACAAATTGTTCTTTCTTATTCTTTTTTACTAAAAATATAACCCCATATCATTTTTTTCAAAATAAACGCAAACACCCAGAAGTTTGCTCTTAACAGTGTAGTTTAGCATTTTGTTAAATTTACTCGGAAATCACTTTCATGTTTTCTCCACCTAACTAAAAGTTATGTAATCATCTCCACCAACAATGTCATGTCATCAGTTCAAAATTTTGTATAGTAAATGCTATTTACATTTTACAAAATATTATACTCCTATCCTTGTGGTTTATGAATCTGCCTTACTTTTTTAAACAAAATTTCCAGGTTTCTGAAAAAAAAATATATATATACCGGGTGTCTGGAAAGTACGTTAATTGTGGGAGTTTCTGAAGTCCCAAAAAATAATAAAAAAACTCTATGACGTAAAAACCGTAATTTTATAAAAGTAAAATTGGCAACACTGCACACATTTAATGCGTGAATACCTCCGGCTTACTTTCTGATTTCTTAGTAACGATTGTGACTAAAATCCACTTTTTATTTCTTTTTAGGACAATAACCATAACAACCAGTAGTCATCAATCGTTGTGCATTATTATTAATAAAACTAGCTGTTATTTTTCATTAATAAATAAACCAAAAAAAAAAAACATTTAATATCACATTTATAGATTATAAACAAAAACAAAACCAACAAAAGAAAAATCCATTACAGCATAACCAACTAAACACTAGAGAAGATGTTCAAAATTCCTGCCTTGTGCATATAAGTAAGCTCGTAATGTTTCCAAATTTTGATCATTTTTTGTAAACGTTAGTCATCAGTACGTGCTAAAATAAGACCGATTTTGGCAAATTACATACCCTCTAAGAAAAGAGGGGGGGAGTGGGTGGAGAAAATTTGAGAATACAGTTCTGTTATTATTGGCATTACATTGTTACACTAAACTTTATAATTTTTCAAAGAAACTAGATTGGTTGGACTGTATTTCAGGGGTGAAGTCTAAATAACCTTAGACCAACTTATTCTTCTGATGAAAATATGGGACGAATAAACAATACAAGTCAAAATAACTTAATTTTTATTGACATTAAATTCATTGGAGATTAGTATATAGTTTTGTATTATTCTCAAAATTTGCTAATACCTAAGGATGTGTCTATAATTTTTTTACGCTAAGGGTAAGCCAAGACATTAGATTCATTTTGAGGAATTCAGTTTACAGAATATAAAAATATAGACTTTCCGTTTTTTATCTGTAATCGCTGAAATTATAGTAATTAGTGCGAAGTTTTAAATGCACGTTTAAAATGGTAAATCGTTAACCAAAATATATCTACATAATCCTCTCCAATAGTTTGGACAAGTAAGTGTTTTTATTCCTGGTTTAATCATATATTTTATTCATATTACTAAAAAAAAACTCGTAAAATGAAATCCTACTGCACGACTTTTAATTTTTTTTTCGTAAGAACCAATTTAGAATTATTGATTTAATGAATATAGAAGATTAACAAAATTGCCTTTATTCATGTCCTTCGAAAAACGTCACAAAAAATAAAAATGTACGTTTTGAATCTGCGTTTGAAATGTCGTGGTTCTACCTTAGTATTGCTTTTAGTTCTAAAAAAAAAAATGCGTGAACCGGTTTGTATGTTGTACACATCATAATTCATTTATTTATAGCTACCAAAACATTGATAACTTTACATAAATATAAAAATAAATCTTTACAGAAAAATGGGCTCTTGAAAATTGATGGTTGCTTGCATTTCCGCAACAATCTTTTTTTTTATTTTTCAGTCAAAAAGTAAAATAGACATATTTATTTTATCGATTTTCTGTGGAATTATTGCGCAAATTTCTCTGCAATATGCAATATGCACGTGTGTACATATCATATATAATATAAATATATCTAAATTAATATGTTGATTGATTTCAAAAATTAGTTTTATAAAATTTCTTTTGAAATATTTTTTCAAAGAATACGTGTAACTTTCCGACTGAAAATTAAACTAATTTTTAAATTAAAAAAAAAACTTATCACGAGTGGTTTTAGGAAAACCATTTAGTTTAGAAAATATTTCCAAAACTAAAATCTCTTCCGTTGAGGCTGACCCTTTTTGACCTTCCTTGGTAGCGACCCTGCGCAGCATTGATCTTAAACACCGAACGCATTGACTTCGACAATACAAAAATAAACATTTTGTAATTAAAAACAAATGAATCACGATGGACAGGTCTATTGTTTGAACGGCTCTTTTGCGTTTTTAGCTACCCGATCCATTAACATTTGTCAAGGTCAAACAGCTTAAGACGGTTTCGAATGCTGGCAACGGCTGATTAGTTGTCGCGTTGTTGGTCCACAGCCTTCGCAGGCTAAAGAAAGAGAAGGGACGGTGGACTTTCTTAAGTCAGTTTAGTCGCTAGACGCGTGTTGGAATGACGCTTACGCGTTCGCTCGGGCAGTTACTTACCACTTTTTTTTAAATGTGATAACTTTTACAAATGGATTGTGATTGTGTACGGTAACAATATTACACAAACTTCGGTTCCTCAATAGTTCGATGGACATTCTCGTGGTGCTAATAACTTTCCTTACGAACGCGCCTTGTCAGGTTTAAATGTCCATCATTACTGGTCATATTGAGTGTGTTGTTGGTGTTGTTACGTCGAATCGATGTGTTGTACGTGTGTAGTTGCATTTGTTAAACTCAACAGTCATGGATAACATAGCGAATAACAATTTGGTTTCGAATTTACCTGAGGTGAGAAAAAACTTGATCTTGGCCTGTTGTTCGTGCTGGTGAGGCCAGGTGTTGTATTTTAAACTTTTTTGTGACTTGTTGGTTTCGAATTGATTGAATTGTTTTTTATTTGTACCAAACCGACTTCTTCGTTCTCATTCAGTGGAAATAAGCAGACCTTAATCTTCGTTGTAGTTGTGTTTGTAAAAATGCGCCGGAGTCTGAAAAAAAAATTAAGGAAATAAAAAACTGCATTCTTTAGGGTAAAGAGCGATAAGTCAGTTTCCCACGACTGCAGTAATGCGATATAGCTATTGTTCCGATTTTTTCTTATCACAATTGTGTATGGGCGGCTCACTCTTTTAAAAAAGTGTAACTGTTATGTTACAGAATATTGGTTGATGGTTTGTTGTTGTGAATACAACATGATACACCTATCATAAACATTTAGACTCCTGGAAAAATATAAACAGAAAAACAAACAAAGATGTTTCTCTCAACACGAATTTTATTCTTCTTGTAATGGGCACGTTGAAGGTCAGCAAAACACTGAGTTCAATGGACGAATTAATTTTTGATTATTTCAGGTTTAAAAAATACTTGCATTTGTAAGTAAGGACCCAAAACGAGAAGACCAAAAATATCTTACAATTATTTTGTTGTTGTTTTGTATCCGCATTCATTGCGTTTAAATTTACCTTCACCAAATTATTTCTTAAGGTTGGGACGTTATTATTAGCCCAAGTTACAGACAAAAAACTAATTAAACTTGGTTTATTTTGACTCATATTTGTAGTTGTGCGTATGGTGGTAGTGTTTCCGATTATGTATATCGTTACTCTTCCCCTCTCTTTCTCAAATTTTGAGTTTTACACTAAAATCACCATAAACAAATTTTTCATTTTTAACTTCAGTCCTGAACAGAAAGGAAATAACGTTGTTTGCATATGATTAAAAAGACGAACAGACATAATTACACTACGTCCCCTATATAATAATATCTGCGGCTTACTCGGGTCTGGGAACTGCTAATTTAAGATCCCCATATTGAATCTGTGACAATTATCTGATGTGTATCCAACAGTGTCAAAACAAACAACCGGATGTTATCATTACCTACTGCATGTTGTTAAATTTCTTTTCCAGATGATAAATTTTAACTTGTAGGGTGCGGTGTTTTATCAGTGCTTTTTTTTTAGTGTGAAAACTATTTACCATACCTCTGAAACTTTGTATACACACTGGGGACTCGCTAGACGAGATATAACATTTTTTAGATTTTCTGTATGAAAAAATGATATTAATATAGAGCAACTTTTTTCATATTTTAGACCGCGGAGACTAGTTCAATCAACTAAAAAATATGGCTGAGAAATATCGTAAAAAAGCACCTTCGTATATTTTCTTTTGGTTATTTTTGTGTCATTATCATCATAGAATCTTTTGAAAATTCTCACATTGACAAAGCATCACTTTTTACAGACAATTTATTTCAATAATAAGGTATTTATTAAAATCAAAATATCCCACAAATGATTACAAAATAATTTTAACACGAGTATTAATGGAAAATTAATGATATAATGCTTGGCAGAGTTTTTAATAAAAACTAAGAACTATTATTGAAAAAAACAGGTATGAATTCGACACAATTTGAGCAGTTAGTTCAGGATTTTGACGCTAGGAGCGCCACCGAAAGTTAATTATTACGGAAGCGACTTTCCAGGTATATAAAACCCTTTTTGCCTGCCCTACCATAAAGTAAGTGTTAGCCTTCTCGGCTGATTTTTCTAATTTATGGCAAGGAACTCGGTTTTATAACAAGCCGCCAGAATCGGCAGTGGGAATCTATTGTTAAGGAAGTTAACTTTTACACAATGGTGTACTATCATAAAACCGAATTAGAACTCCCGAAATTATATATTTTTTCATTTGCTGAGAGATTATTTTTAAAATATATTTATGATAAAAATGTGCAAGTTTTGATAATTAAAATGTACTCCTGATAAAATGTAGTAGAATAAATATATAGAAAAAAATTCTATTTATTAAAAAAAAAACCTCTCGCAAAGGGAGGTTTCTTTTTCTTCTTGAATCAATTATTTCGGACAATAAGGCCCCAAAGTAAAATCTGTCAAGTTTATCAACCATCTTTTTACGTATTTCTTCTTCTTTACAATTTTTTTCAATACTCATTCCTTTGGGTGTGTACACATCAAAATAAACTGCATTTATCCCTGGACTTGAAAGTAGTAATCAATTTTCAACCTGGCAACGTAAAAAATTTGGTAATTTTTTTTCTTACCCCTTCTTCGGGAGACCAATTTTGCGATTTTGAAGGGCATTTAATTTCGACTAATGCAGTCCTATTTTCTAGAACCGTGTCTGAACTAGCAGCCAAGTAAGGAAATTGTTTTGAAATAAACAACCCACACCGTTTAGTTTTTATATTTATGTTCAATAATTGTACGAAATGTCTTCCATAGGTTTCGATCATTTATACTCACAATAATACTCATGGTCACTTATTATATCATCAAAATTCAAAACGCTAACACCATTTCATTCTGCATGTTACCTATCGTATCAAATCCTTCTTATTTAAATAACAAGAAAACGGCATTAATAATACATATAGGTGAATAAATTAATAGGCGGACTTGATAAGCCCTGTTTTCCCTACAGTGTCCAAATTGTGTTTGAGTATAATAATAATTATCTCCAGCATTAAAATTAATATTTAAGATTATACTTAGTTCAGTGGTATTATTATAATACATACATAATAATATATTTATTATTTATGTTCATGTTTATTCCAAGTGTGGATAGTCCAAAAACTGCACCTTTTGCAGAGAGGATGTGGAAAGAAATATTGTATTGAATAATGAAAGAAAATTTGAATTTTCGACCTATATTGTAAAAGAGAACAAAGACAAATACAACAACTAGACATTGTGTACAAGATTTTCTTTGTTGCTTGGACGACCATTTTTTTTCACTCCCACAATTGATGTTTGAAAAACTTAAAACAAAAATGATTTTATTTATCTTCTACATGTAAAATTTGTGAGAATAGATACCCATATTATCATATTGTTAAAATTAAACCGATGCCTTAGTGTTAAGTAGTTTTTAATAGCTTTGTGATTATAATTAGTTCATTTTGTCTGGAGCAGCGAACTAACATATATATACTGCCTTTTTGACAAATTATGTAGAAAGTATATAAATGTTGTCAATATTAGGTACAAAAAAATGTTTATCTGATGTAAATGCTCATACATTCAGTACAAAATTTTTGTTATTGAGCGGAATTAATCCAGTAAAAATACATTATTAAATCTTTTTTCTCCAGCGTCAAATTCATATTCTACAGGAATATGAAAAAGTAGTCTTGGATTTCCTGTCTACATCTACAATCATGTATAACAAAAGCCACAACCCAGAGGTAAACTTGTTGGGAAATTCAATTATATTTGATATAAGATATTGAAAATGTTGGTATCAAAACTCTGAAGATTCTCTACAGTCATTTAACCAGAGTGAACTTGAAAAAACATTATCGAAAGCCTTGACAATGGAATAAGGTCAATAAGACTCACAATAGACTGCGTTATCGTCATGAAGGGTACCCAGAATTCTATTATTTCTGACGCTTGTCATTTAAAAATTTCCGTACTTCAGGAGGATTTGATTTAATTTTAGTCTACATTCTAAATATAGTTTTATAAGATTGCGAAATCTTAGACTTATTAGTTACTTTACTAAAATTGTCAGAAGAATAGTCACCAATTCGTACCCAGGAAAACAAAATTTGTTTGTTAAAGTTATGTTTTCTGATTGTTCGTAGGAAATGAATGCACATTGTAAGATTTAGAAATATTTATAAAGATACTTAATGCAGGGTGATATCTTTCTGCACCAAAAAGTGACAGTGTGGATGAATAACAGTATTGGTTGGAATTAAAACCATTAGTTTACTGTCAACAGTTTTTGTCATTGTATTGAGTGATATGAACAATAAGATATAAATTGTCCCACATACTAAGCAAGCTTTATTTGTGCAGGTAGCACCACTGTTAGAAATATTTGGTACATTAAAAATCACCAGTTATGTAAATAAACTGCTCATTTATGGAGAGTTTTTCCACACCAGAAAATCAAAAGTGTCCAAAATATAATGAGTTCATACTTGTGATTTATCATTCCATTCATATTTTTTGGATTTGTTTATACAGGGTGAGTCAAAAAAATTAATCAATGCCTGAATTTATTTTATTGATTTAATCAGGAACTGCAAAACCGAATGTTTTTAAATGTGAAATGAGATGTTTTAAAGTATGGTAAATTTTTGATCAAAATGTATTTGCTCATCGCCCCTAAAAAGTTGATGACGTCACCTTCAAATTTTGGTGAATAAATCCTATCTTAAATGAACAAAATATGACGAGTCTGTACTTGTGATTTATTATTCCATTCATATTTTTTAGATGAAAAATGACTGAATGAGTCAATTTATTTTATTGATTAAATCAGGAATGGCTCACTCCATTTTCCCAGAAGATTTTGGGAATACAATATTGTTATTTTTATTACACTGCACCAATCCAAGTTGATATACGTGTTCTTGTAAAAATGTCGATGACGTCATCACAAAGTTGTGTAAAGAAAAAAACTCAACTCGAAAATTTTGGTTCTGTTTCATTATCCTTTAGGCGCAAGGGAAACAATTTTCGACATTTTTTTTTATCTTGCGGTGCAAAATTCAAAATTGTGCAACAAGATTTTACAATACATATAATAGAGAAATTGCAAAACCTATTCATCTGAAATTTGAGTAGTCAGCATTTATCAAAATTTGCTAACGTCATATCAAAATTTGTAGATCTCGCTCAAAATTTATAGTGCGACATCTTTCGTCATCTGTATTTTAGCAATGCATTTTAGCATATTCCCTAAAATTACTTCTAAAATAGGTGTGAATGAAACAATTGGTGAAGTACTTTCTAGACACCTCA